ATTTTTATGCATTTAGTAACAATTTAAATCAAACTTAACTTTAATGATTTTTCTTCGGTGTTCTGGGATGCTTCAAGCACTAAAAATACCCGTTTCCGAAAAAAGCAAACCAGTTTTGAGTCACAGTGATGTGGTAGGTTGACAATGCTCTTTTACAAATGAGAACATTGTATTGAATTAAAATATCAATGTTGCCAGTATCCCAAGATAGCGTGGTTAGTAAGACGTTGTGGGAGTTCGAATCCTGCCTGCCGAAGAATCTCCGTGTATTAAATAGTGACTAGTGCACTTAAATCCGTCGGGGTCATAAAGCTTTCCAAGTTCCCATAACAAATCAATACCTCTGGGGGTACTGAATTAGAGATCGATCTTTCTCTGGTTAAATTCAAAATGACAATCTGTGGATGAATGAATAGAGTATGAATCAGTCCTCCATGTAAAGCAGACAGTGACGTGTGTGTGGCTGCAGTCGTATTCTTGGTCATAGATGGAGCCACTGAAAAAACTAGAAACGCTCCCTCTGCCTTAAAAATTCGCTAGATTTCAAGCAGGCTTGCTGACTTGGAAAGGCATGAGTAATAACAGCATCTATTGCCGAATTAAGAATAGTAACTATCAAAACTTTTTTTTTTTAATTTAAGATGTAGAATCTGAAAATCTCGAACACTTTTGGTAAAATATCCTGGTTCTCTAAATACCAAAATTATTTTAAATAAATTTTTTGCTTTTTTTTAAGTGTTGTCAAAAGAAAGAAATTCTATCCTTATCTCTTTAACGAAACTATTAATCATGCTTTATAACATGGTTTGCTCAACTAAAATAGTTGGATTTTACACCTACACCATGGGAATTCTAGAATTCTGAGGGTAAAAATAGAATTATTCGGTAAGAACATTAAGAAATTGACATTTAAAGACAATTCAGCTTATTTGTAAAGTTATTTTCCAATGCCTACCCATATATTGACATTTCTCTTTCGGGCATCAAAAGGGCAGATGTGTTGTCTGCTTTTTTAGAGGGTATTATATTAGGTGCACCATTGTTGCTCGCACAGAAAAGACAGATAGTACAGAAAAGCTGGCAAGATAATCCACGGCTCGGGACCGGGATTCAAACTCGAGACTTTTCTGACATTAGGTCAGCTCCCTGCACAACATACAAGTCTGCCGACGCAAGTCTGTAACTTAAATTCAATTGTTTTAAGTTTCTGAAAATTCCTTAAATTCAGTTAATATGAAATTAGCAAACAACTACATAAAGTAGTTTTTTATTATTTATCCCTAACCAAAGATAAAACCAATATTATAAATCTACTTTTAGTTTAGAAAGATATAATTGGTTTGAACAATAGAAGTATTACTTTATTTAAGTGATATTTTGAATTTTTTTATAATCTTAAAAGTCTATCAATTCCTCAGTTTTTAGAAGTTAGAAAAGTTGTCATATTATCTCTATCAGTATACGTATCAAATCTGTTATACAGTTGGCAAAAAAACTGAACAGGTATATGAAGCTTTTAAAAATAAAATACAAAATGATAAACCAGCAAAATAGTTTGGTGTATAATGGTATTGAAATTAAATATGCAATAATTAAAAGGTACGAATCATTTTATAATTTAACTTTTAAAACATTTACGCAATTTTGTATATTTTTAATGAAAGTAAAGTTAAATTTTAAAAAAAACTGTCATAAGCAAATACTGCAAATGGATGAAATAATGACCGAGTTGGATTCTGAAAATTTTAAAACGTTTCTTGTTTTACTAATAAAAATCATCATGAAAATAAAAAAAACAAACGCAGTTTCATGCTTCAGAATAACATTTATTAATTTACAAACACGAAATGGGCAATGTTTAAAAAAAGTACAACATAAGAAATTCTCCATAAGCTCAGCAGTCACAAAAGTTGAAAAATGATTTAAAATACATCTATACAAGACATTTCATAATGTTTTGTTGTTCCTTTCTGAAGGGAAAAAATACAAAAAAGGGATTTCATTTTTTTCCCCTCGCACACATCAGCCATTTAGGAATGATATATAGAAAAAGGTGTATAAATATGACAGTTTTTTCCCCCACAAGATAGGGACATGTTAAAAGACACTGGATACATAGCACCTACTTAAAACTGATGTTTTTCTAGAAATTGTCTGGAGGATACCAGAAGATTTATATGAGAAGGAAGTATCAAAGCAGCCTACTTTAAAATTAGAGAATAAAAAAAAGCGACAAACAGCTTGGAGCTCAAACATGGTTTTTTCTTTTCTTTCTATTGTGAATTTAGTTTGTTAAAATTCGGGAAGAAGTTTTGCTTTCGAAATAAAGGCAAGCTTAGATGTTGGTAATGGCGTGTCTAACCCATTAGTAAAAATTTTTTGAGAGTTTAAATTTTCATGAACAAGTATGGTTTACAGCAGTGTTTCCCAAACTCATGACTTTTGTGTACCTTATCTAAATTTTTCGAAACGCTGTGTACCACTAATGAAAAAATGAATGTATTTTTTACTCTAGAAATTTCCACAAAAAATAAAAATCACAACTGGCTGTTGACACCGCTAACTACTAACTGTTAACTCTGCAAAAAATAGCCAATAGAAAATTATATAATCGTAAATTTTCATTGTTTTTAAATAAAAGTTTTTGGAATTTTTCGTTTGTTGCAAGATATTTCGCATATGAACGCGTACCCCCGTTAAACTGCTCTCGTACGGGGGTACGCGTACCACACTTTGGGAGACACTGGCTTACAGAAATACGTAAAAGTACAATATATGAGAATTTTAAATAAATAAATGAATACTCAAATAGAATCTATAATTCCTATTTTAAAACTGATCAAATATCGATAATTTACTGATATATAAACCTGTTCATACAAATTTATGCTTTTATTTTGAATTAATAATACTTTATAAATAGTATTTTAACAAAGTTAGTGACGAAACTAGACTAAAACGATGTTTTCATCGCTTACACTAATGAAATATGTTATTTTATTTCGGTCAACAAATAATCAAATTCATACTTTTACGTTTTGGTTCGATCCTCAGGCAGGGCAGGGTAGACTCAGCCTTTCATCCCTTCAGTGGGTCGATAGATAAGTACCAAGCATGCTTGGGAACTAAACACTGGTGGTTTCGCGTTCGGCTGACCACTTAACCGGAACATCTGCTCCTGCACCCCAGAGCCCAAAAGGTCAAGAAAACTGAGATGGGCACAGTAGGCCTTGACCCTGTATGCGCGGGCTGTCGTACCGCTGAGTTTTAGTTTTATACTTTTATGTGCTCAAATACTTAAGTACTTAGATGTAAGTATGATTTTAGTTTTAAGCTAACATTAAGGCATACCCGAATTTCAGCCTTTTTTTAATGTTTTATAGTGGGAATGTTTTTTTTCTTGTATATGAATTTCTTAGAAATAATTACTCTAAATTAGCTCAAAGAAATATCATTCTAGAATATCTAAACGTGATATTAGGCCCCGTGGCTACAATATGGGGTGTATAATGGAACTAACTGCAAGTAAAAATATATTTTTACAGTAGTTATGTAGAAAATATTATCTAAAGCAACCAACTAACTTATAACAGTAACACGATAATCCAAAATAAATTATAGTTACTTTCGATCTTAATGTGCTTTCGTTTTGCTATTTACGTTATTAGGCACCTTCTACGAAGTTCTTTTTCCCCGTGCAAATTCCATTAATTTTTTTCTGGACCTTCAACTTTTTGAGGAAATATCCGTAAATTGATTTGATGCGGAAATATTCGTAGATTTATTGCTACTACTGGTTAGATCACGTGACTCCTATAATTTTCTAGAATACATTCTTTGCTACATTTTTACAGTTGAAAACAATTAACTAATTAATGTTTCCCTCAGAAAAGAGGATTATGTGCGTTTTGGGACATTATTTTTGAAGAAACAATAAGAGATTTTGTTTTTTAAATATTCAAGGATTTCTGATTTTTTTAAAATTTAAAATGAAATTTTACGTTATGCTATATTTATATTACTAGGTACTTTCCACGAATTCCTTTTCTCCCATTCAAATTCCATTATTTTTTTTTCCTGGTCCTTCAACTTTTTGAGGAAATATCTATAAATTGTTATTGCTACTACTGGTTCGATCACGTAAACCCTAAAATTTTGTAAAATAACTCTTTCGTTGCCACGTTTTTAAAACTAAAAAAAAATAATGAATTAATATTACCTCCAGCAAGGATTATGTCCATTCTGGAGTATATTCTTGTAACATTTTCGTTCTTTAAATGTTTAAATATTTTTTTTCATAATTTAAAATGAAACCTTACAAATTTCATACTAGTTTTTTTTACCGCTATGTTTATCAATAAATTTATCATACAACTCCTTTTATGCAAAATGTTTACGGATAAAGAATGAAAATTCTAAACATAACATAGAAATTGTTCGTGTAAAATTAAATAATTTATAGAAATAGCTGAAAACCAAGGATATAGTTTCAGAACATTTGATCATTCCAAATTTTTAAGCATGATTTTCTATTTAAAAACCATTGTATTAAAAATATATCATCATGATAAATTATTTTGCAACTTACACAATGACTAGACTCATTCGTAGGAGCTATAGATGTTAGAAATAATGCTTTAACAACCTTCTGGTTACATAATTTTATTTTAAAAAAAACTTCAGTCCTTCTCATGCTAGAGGAACTTTCGAGCTATGCATGAGTCAAAAGTTAAACCGAGAATATTAGTCATATTAATTTTATTAGAAGCTGTGGCTAAAATTGATATGAAACCAATTACCAACATAGATGAAAGTTAAAAGTGACTTGCCCCGAAAAAAAGCCTAATGTTTAATAAGGTGTAATCAATATTTTTTATGTTTCTATATTATTTACCTGATCTATTTTCAGGTTTCATACACTTATTTAATATATTTATTGATAAATTCAGCATTCAGTTTTAATACTAAAATCTTCATTTTTCGGTTTTTGTTAATTAATCCTTCACTGATGTCTCAAAATAACTACACAATTATTTATGGATATATAGCGAAAATTAAGATGACAGAATATTTTCAATTACTCACTCTTGAAGTAGCTTAGATGTGTAATTTATATATTTCTCTTTTATAATATTTAAATTTGGTAATTGAAATTTAAATTTCAATCTTATGCTAACAAATTAAATTTTTTGAAAAAATTATGGCGTATTCATCAGATGATTGTTAAAGCAAAATTGTTATGATAGTTATTTAAAACATAAAATTCTCGATAGTAGGTATTTTTTAGGGTCATAGCATCTGCAAAGTTGAATGCAAAGTTATGAATAAATCCATGGTAAAAACAAATTTGTTTGGAGAAATAGTCCTCAATAAGTCTAACTTAGAGCAAATGATAAACATTTCCGTTTCTTTTTAATAGATACGGGCAGATTCTTGAAACTTCGCCTTAAAGGAATTTTTAAATATTATGAATAATTCATATTATTTTGACGTATATAATTGATTTTTGTAAAAAGCTAAGCCTACTATGCTGCCTTCATTTCAATTTTTCTAGAAATTTAATTAATACAGCTTAGTTCACCTTCACTTTGAACGTCTCATTCCCAAAAAAGTTTTAACTTAAGTTTTTTAGTAAGAATTGCAGCCAAGTATTCAACGGTGCAAAACATTTTTGGAACATCTTGTTATTGTTTTTTCAATCTCATAATCTGCTTAGCGATAGAAAAGCATTAAAAATTAAATAGATGTAAGAGGCAAAATATATGTTATTATTCTCGACTTTAAAATAGACATATAGGCTTAGGTTTGGTCAAAGCGTAATCAGATCTTACTAAACTACCTATATACACCTCCTGATAAACTGTACATGCATTTAAATATAAACATTCAAAATACAATAGTACGAATTATTACAAATGATAAAAAAACTGATTGCAATTTTTTTTGACCCTGACGTTTCTTTCTTGCATTACAAAACACTTTACACAAACTTTATGATCGTAACAAGAAAAAAATGAATTTGTACAAAAGTTTAAAAACAACACATAAAATAATTAAGTAAACTATAATTTTAAAAATAACTGCTCAAAAAAGTTATTGGAACGTTTATTGACTATCACTGATATCATTTTTTAATCAGACACTTTCAGGTTTAGGGACCTTTTCACCCGCATTCCATCCACAGTTGCTGTTGACCGTTACTCGCAGCTGCCTACTGCTGTGCTGAAGCAGGGTGCCATCTTTCTTAACGCTACCACTAGTGGTGGCAGTGCTCGATGTCGTGGTGCCCTTTGTAATCTGGCGTGACAGGAGCCTGCTCCTGACATTTGAGCACCTCAACAACCTCATGACGCAACTGCGAAACTTGGAAGAGATTGCGTTGTAGAGAATTGGATTGATGGCTGAATTCATGTAAAGCAGCAATCTGCAAAAGTAAAGGAGGCTGTAAAAGGTCTCCATGCCTAAATGGGTGACTTCTTCTTGGGGTGTGATGATCATCCAGACAGTAAATATCCTGTAATAGCATGTTATGAATTAAATATGAGACATGTTTAACATATGTAAATGGTCAGAACATAAATAGATCCTATTAGGATTTATCAGTTTTTGTTCCAAATCACAATATTTTTAGCCTTAAGCATTAACATTTTGACCTGTTGCAAATAACAAATTTTAATATGAGTTATCTCTTATAAATATTATTTTTTCAAACTATTTGAAACTTAGTAAAGCTGATGTAGTACACAAATTATTTTAATATTTTTCTTTTTAATTTTACATTCATTTTTATAATGCTCGAAAATTCTAAGCTGTAAGGCATATAAAGTTCTGCATTTTCTTGAACTTCAAGATTTTTAATGATATATTCGAAACTTCGAGCTAAATCAACTGAAAAAAAGAGTATACAAATCTAAGCATACAAATCTAAGGTATACAAATATCGAAAAAAATCTTATTTTGGAATTTTTAGTTCTCAAGAACTAATGAACAGATGTCGATAATTATAATTTCTGGTTTTGATATATCACACTCAGAACTCAGTTTGAAAAAGAAGAAAAAAATATTTTCGAACTAAACTTCTATCAAAATACAAATAAATCGTATGAAGTTTTCTTCTTAAATTTTAAATACCATATAAAAAAAAGTACATACACATAATGAAGCGCTTTAAAATGCAATTACTACTTTCGCTTACCAAAGTGCATAAGCATTAGCTAAACTATTAAATTTTCGAAAGAAATTACTCTCATTTCCATCTACTGCTTGCAAAGTGCTTTAAAACGTTTTACACCAAAAATTTCATCTGTGCTAGTTTATACAAAAATTTCCTCAATACACTATTTTCGCATTAACTTGTTTGTAGGTAAAGAAAAACAACTGGGGAAAAGGCGTCTTTAGACGTCTCAAACGTTCAGTCAGATAAAACGTTGCTGGGTTCAGACCAATAAGAGCTTCCAAAACTAACGAAAACAGTTGTGAATATTATCACATAGATTAATATGATGGAAGCTTAATTATAATTCTAAATTCGATGATTATTAATGTCTAGTGAAAGTATATTAATGTATTTGACAAATATCATCAAATACTCACCTGAATGGAAGTAGACAGATAAAGAAACTTAGCACCACAGCAATAAGCATAAAGACGACTTGCTTTCTTGCTCTCATTTGATTTTCTTCACTTGAAGAAGCCAGCACCCTCCTACCTAACATCAAGTGCTTAGCTATGTGGCAGTAAACTACTAATAGCACCAAGAATGGTATCACGAACAAGAAACCGATAATACTCATGTAATACAACTGTTGCCATAGCTCTTTCACCATTTGTAGACAAACTGGCACCATGGTGTCATCGTGCATGGCTTCTGCCATGTGATAGTCTATGGTCATAAGTACTGGACTAGTGAGAAGCGCGGCCACGAGCCATATGATGCAGATTATGGCCAGAGCCCTCATTTGCGTGCAAGTGTAACCGGCTTTCAGGGGCTCACAGATGGCATAGTATCGCTCGAAGCTGATGGCCAGAATAGTTAAGATAGAAGCGTGAGCAGCTGTGAGTTGGACATAAGGAACTGCTTTACCTAAAATAAGAAAGAGAAAACGTTAAAAATAAGATTTGATATGAAGTATCTTAATGTCACAACCTTATCATTATACACCGAAGAGCCATTACATTATGACCACCTTGCTAATAGCATGTTGGACCACCTTTAGCCCTCAAAACTGCTAGCACCCACCGTGGCATGATTCCACAAGGTGCTGATAGGTAGTCTGAGGTATCTGGTACCAAGCGCTCACCAACTGGTACTGCAATTCCTTCGCATTGCGAGGGGGTAGCGTGGCAGCACGAATTTGGTTTTCCAAGTAGGACCACAAATGCTCTATTGGATTAAGGTCAGGTGAATTTGGGGGCCAAGACATGACTTGAAAGTCACTGGAATGTTCCTCGAACCAATCCATGACGATTCGACCCTTATGACATGGTGCATTATCCTGTTGGTAAACACCATCCCCCGCAGGAAAAACTGTTGCCATGAATGGGTGAACCTGGTCTGCAACTATGTTAAAGTAGCTTACAGACGTCAGGGATTATTCTATGAGGATTATGGGTCCTAATGTGCCCCATGAAAACATTGTTCCTGGGCGAGAAATCATGAAAACCTGGGCGAGCCCATTGTTATAGATGGAGGGTGGTCATAATGTAATGGCTCTTCGATGTAATTCACTGTCTTGTTACAGAATGCTTGCCGCTGCCGCATTTAATATTTTTCATTGAGAATATACAAACTTTACCGATAAAAGAATGCAAATTTTTTTCTAAGGAAAAATTAAAACATTTAATGTAAATTTCTGCCCCAAATATCTTAGTAAAGTGTAAACTGTTTTTGTGAAATGTCTTCAAATTCGATGTAAACATACGTAAACTTTGTCTATGAGTAGATGTATTATTTCGAACCACATAATTGATTTATATTTGAATAAAAAATGCACTAAAATAAATTGATAACTAAGATATTTAAGCCATTTACGCAAATCGAATCTTCCTTCGAAGGAAAATCAGATAACGTATAAAACGTTAATATTTCTCTTTTATTTTATCATCATAAAAATTTATATTCTACTATATATTGTGGAATACCATTTTATCATTATTTCTTCAAATTTTTCAATTATTGAGGATTTTTATGAATTTTTAACAGAACTTTAGATAAATCGATAAAAACTATAGAATCTTTTAAAACTAATTATGATTTCACAAGACTTAAAACATCAGCATAGATCATCCCTGGATGAAACTTAATTCCCAAGATGGGTAATTAGCATAAAAATAAAATTATTTTCTTCGATGATGCATAATGTACCTATTTAAATTTTAGTAATTTTCTCTAAACAGACAGAAATGTTTAAGACAAACCTTTCGTAGCTTCGATATTTTGAAGATTTTTCTCAATATCTGAAATGTGTTTTCAATGTTAAAAGGTTTTCTTAATATTCTTGCATTCCATTTTTTCATCAAATCAAAAAGGAAATTATAAATTATACGCTAGATTAATTTACATTTATGAATATTACATGAAAATATACTTGAAATGGATGATTTTAAATTATATTTACATTTGATTTATAATTTTTGAATATGAATATTTTCTTTTCATTTGATTTATAATTTTTGAATATGAATAATTTTGACAGAAAAAAGTTTTACTACTCGAATTTTTTTCTTAATCGTAGCTTAAATTCATTAAAACCTAGATACTTTTAAATATTTCTTTTTTATTTCCATGATCCAATTCTTTCCAAACTGTTTATTGAATCAATAGAAAATAATAAAAGTAATTAGCAACTGCTTTCTTATTAATGCATTAAAACAACTTATAAAAGTCTCTCATAATAGAGGTGAGAAAACATTCGTGTAAAGCAATAGTTCATAAAAAGTTGTTTTTCTTCATACCTTTGTACACAAAAATAGTGAATCAAAATTATCCATTTAATTTTAATTGATCTTGCTATTTAAGGCTGAAAAAGTAAAGTCTATAATTAAAATATATAATTTTAGCAGGCATTTTTTCTTTAATCATACCCTCCTTATTTATTCAGTCAATTTGTATTTATATTTCAAGTTAATTTTTTTGTTTCATGTGAAATTTTAATGTTTATAAAAAAAGTTTTTAATAAACGCTTAATGGTTTGGGGTTATTAAAAGAATAGTTAAGAACTAACGAGTTTTTGAATTCTTAACTAAAATGCTCATTAAAATTCTATTATTCTTTAAGGACGGTGATATAAGTTTCAAGAAAGGAATATAAAACACTTTTAATCACATGTGACAGTATTCTCCATTATAAAAATTAAAACTTTTAAATAATCACTGAAATTTTTATTAATCAAATAAAGCATACATTATATCACAAGAATTTAGTCATGAGATATGCAGAATTTATCTGCTTAAAATAAATATGCAGGCGTAAAGAAAATTACTGATTTTGAGTTATCTCTTAACACAAAAGAAAAGTTATTAAACCAGGGTTATAAAAACTTTTAATCGAGTACTGCTGCATTTTAATCAATCTGGGAATATTGACATAGTGTAAATGTATGAAAATTAATTTTAATAAAATAAAATAAACTTATTACTAAAACATTCTGAATTTAATTACAGTCTTATCCAGCAGATTTAAAATAAGCTATGTGGGAATATATTTCAACAATAAATATTGCTGATTTCTATTTCAATGATTATAAAACTCTTGAGCTTTAATCATTAAAGTATTTCAGCTAAATACGATATGCTGAATGTAACAGCTACGTTCTTACTAACATTCTGCATATGTTCAGCACACCCAGATATAATAAAGAAAACAATACAGTATGCAAAGAGTACTTGATCTTAAGATCAAATTTCGACGTTTTAAGATGCATTATTAATAATTAGAGTGACTAACCTTAAACATACTAAAGTGTTTGTGGTGACGATATTTGTCTTCACTAATTTACACAATCAACAAATTATTAGAAAACAACTGCATAAATTATTTATCAGCAAATTTGATATTAGAAGTTGCACATTTCTACACAAAATAATTTTTTCTTTTAATAAACGTATTATTTTTGCTTTGGTGGTTTAGATTCTTGATCCTTTAAATACTGGCAAAATACGGTCCCAATAATTCAAACAAGACAGCGGTCAAAATTTGAAGCCCCATTAGTTCCACTTTTTCACGCCGAATAATATGAAGTATTTCATATTTTAAATTACCATTTCTAAAGACTGGTTCCGATGTTTTTAGTTGAACAAAAAACTTACTTATCTTAAATATATAATATATTTAAATGAACCTTACCATTGAAAAGTAACAAATCAAAAGTAACAATCAAAAATATTATTTAATATTTTTTTTGTATTTAGGATAAACAAGTTTTTACTATCTTTCTTACAAAACGAAGTTTAAATATTGATGCTTAATTTTAAGTAGCTAAAATTAATACTGCTGGTAAGCATTTCTTATCTAAGTGTTGTGGATTCTTGTCTTAAGCCTCACGCAAATGCGTGCCTATATATCCATAAATAATATTTCTTGTTTTGTTTTCGCTCTCGGCAAGATTTTTTCCAACCTTTACAGACTCTCTCTTTATAGCACTCTTAAAATGACGTGAGTGCAAAATCTTATTTGTGGATATACTTCTAGATAATGGTTAATTTATAAATTACACTTTTTGTTTGTAGTTCATGCTTAAAAATAATTAATGAGAAAGTATGCTTAAACTATGAAATGAGAAAAAAATATGAGCAATACTGATTAGTAATGACAACTAATGCGTAGTTTGTTGTCACATTTTTATGCCTTAATGTAGAAATAAACAAAATTCTAATAATATTATATAATTTGATAATTCATTAAATTTGAAATAAAAATGTGTCAGGTTTAAGCCCAAGTTATTTTATAAACGAATTTTACTCATTTATATGTTTTCTTGCTCAATTCCTCCTTTTCATTTCCATTGTAAAATCTTTTTGTTTTAAGGTGTTTTTTGAAGGCTGATTTAACAGAAAAAGAAATGTCTCATTTTGAGTGCTCTAAACTTCAAGCAAATTTTAATTTTAAACTATTATTCTCTTTCTGAAAACTAGTGATTGCCTATAAAACAGACAAATGTCCTAAATATTTAATTAATTATTAATTCTTTTTTTTTTAAATAAATCTCCCATTTGGCGAGATTTTCTACCTAGATGAAAACCATTAAATAAATCTCTAATTTTGCATAACTGCATGAATCTTATAAGACAGTGGTTGAATAAATTTTTCACTTTATAAAAAGATTGGATCACTATCAATTTTTATTTCCAATGCATTGTGGCTTTTTCTGATACAGATAGTTTGTGCAATTTTCATGATCAGCATAGACAACTCTTACTAGAGAGTGATAAAATATAACTTAAATGCCATGAATACACAGCAATTGTTAAAAATGACATATTACTCGCTAAAAATCATTATTTAATAAAACAAAAAAGTCTTCAATAAACATAAGCCTTAAGTCAAAAATTAAAAACATTATTATAAATACTCATAAAATTATTTTAATTGTAGAAAACGATAAAAATATTACTTTACCTCCTAGAAAAAAAAGTTTCTTAAAGGAAAAAAGAAAAAGAACTAATTTTAAAATGAAATTTATCCTTAAATTGAGTTATCCCTTTTAAACTCTTAAAACTATTTACACGTAACTATTCTTTCAAAATAAGGGAAAAAGAAATCGATTTTTGTGATATTTCTTTCAAAAGTAAATGATTTATGATATCCTAGAAAGGAGTGTATCTCCTGATTTTTCTCTCATAGGATATTCAAAGCCTATGTACGAAAACAGAAATGACGTTCAGTATCTCATAACTTATTTATCAAAAAGCTGTTGACTAGTTGTCAGTATTAAAGAAAACTAAAATACGGATACATTTTTTAGAAAAATAATTTTTTATGCGATACATCAAACTACAAAAATAAATCGTAGAAGCAGAATTTTTTAAAATGCGCCATTCAATGAAAGGAAAAAAATTATTATTGCTTTTATATTTTAAAATTAT